TCCGGAGCTGTCCCGTCGCCTCGCTTGCCCCCCACCGGAACCCAGCATGACAGCACATGGTATGGAATACCGGGCTCTGATTGGCCAGGTGGGGTCAGCCCCCACCCCCCGGCTGTGCCCCTTCCTGGAGTCTGGTGAAAATTAACCCTGTTCTGGCCAAACCCAGGACAGGTTGCTGGTTAGAAGGATTGTAGGAACTTCTCCCTTTCTTGATGGCAAATGCGGTTTGAGGGAGTTTAACTAAACTAGAGATAAAGAAACTAGAGTAACCTTTGAAAATAAACAGTAGAGAGCTACATTCGGAAATAACAGAACAATATCTGAGCTTTACCTTGAATTCCAGATGGTCAAAGAGTAGAACCAAGTGCAACAGGAGAAGCAGTCAATAGAAGAGTTTGCTAGGTGAGAATCACAGCCCTGACGACTGTTTTTTCACTCATCTCTAACCAGATTTGATCACCTGATTGCAATAGAGCGTGCTGGGATGGCTGCTGATGGCAATTATTACAATGCCAGGAAAGTTAACATTAAACACCTGGTGGATCCCATAGATGATCTATTTTTAGCTGCACAAACCATTGCAGGAGTCACAACAACAGGTATGTGTGAGTTTGTGCTATGTTCTCAGAAGCAAGAAACAAGAACTCGTACGGGAAGTGAAGAGGAGCAGGAGGCAGGTGCTGAGTAACTGCTTGTGGGCTACAGCTGTTTGTCGTGGTTGAATTTAGAGACTGTTGCTGGAGGAAAATTAGAGGTTTCTATTGCAGGGTTCTTGCGACCAGAAAAAATGAAAGGGTTGAATTCAAAGTTATTTAAGAACAAAAAAGCAAGCCCAGATGTGTGTATTATCGATACATCTGTGTGTGTGCATACATTTCTCTAAATGTAGTTTTTGACACTGACTTTATTCTGTATTTTGTGGGGGAAAGGTAGCATAGAAAGCAAATGACTACTGGATGGAAACATTACATATTGAAATATTGTGGTTATTTTTATGATTGTTACACCTGTGTTAAAACAGCAGTCTGGGTAGAATCTTACTTTAGATCACCTTCTAGCGGTACATCCTCTTGAGCAGAGAGTGCATATTTGCATCTGTTCTAACAAAATATACAGTAATAGTCTTTAAAGGAGTACATTGTCCTTCGTGCCAAAACTGCCTTAGCATTGACTAATACATCTAATAAGAGTGCTGTTGTCAACATGGTGCTCCTCTCTTTTGTTGGTAGTCCTTTTTTTCCCTTAAAAATGACTAGTATCTGGTTTTGAAAGAATATGGCACAGATCAAGGATTGCTAGATGTATATGACATGTTGTTCTTGTACAATCAAATGCTTCGTGCTACACTGTGTGCCCCAAAACAGAGTTAGGAGATATGTAGTCTATATAAATATAGAAACAAGTGTCCACGCCAGCCTGATTTCGGTCACGTCAGAACATGTCTGCTGATCTGACTTTTTTTCTTCTTGTGCTGTGGCCTCACTCCGAAGTATTACCAAAAGCACTGTAACTGTGATTTCTCGGTAGTGATGTTTTCAAATGTTTCCACAGAATTTAGAGAGTTCCTGCAGAACTAATGCATAGTCTGATTTCACTGTATTGGAATCATTGAAAAGCTGTGTATCAGAGGAGTTCACTGGTATTTTTCATATTATCTTAAAACTTGTAATACATTTTACTTAGATTTAACCCCAATGTTTGTCCTGTTCCTAAGGAATGACTTTCAACGTTCAAAAAGCAGCACTCTAGATGGCACTCTGTTGGCAATCTCAGCAGAGAAGCTGAAGATTGACTGAATAAGGATAGAAAAAATTCTCTTTCATAAAGAAGTTTAGCAAAATGCCTCAGAACTTTATCTGCTGCAGTTAATTTCAATTATTTTGTCCCTGATCTTAGACTGTTGATACAAGGACTTGCTCTCTCCAGCTACTTGGGTGACATCACATCCTTATTCCTTTAATAAAAATACCCTAATCTCTTATAATAACTCCCAGAGCAGCTCAAAGTATATTACTGATTTGGCGGAGTTTGGAGTGTTCTGCACAGTGGGAATTTGAATCTGTTCAGCAGAATTTAGTTTGTTTTAAACATTCTCTAAATAGTCAAATATACTATGAAATGTCATTAATTAAAAATACAATGAGCTTGTGAATTAGAAGAAATCATACACTTTTGCTTATCTTTCTGCAATAATTCCTACTTGTAATCTCTTTTTTGAATTAAAGCTTGTAACAAGCCAAAGTTTTCTATGCTTGCTGCATTGTAGAATTGTAGGCTAATTTCTCGGGTTTGTTATGGATTTGGTGCCTATCGTCTTTCTCTATTTGTGCTCACGTGCTTCTGATCATGCAGTACAGAGAGCACTGACGTAAGGCCTTCCGCAAGCAAAGTTTACTATCTTAATTCTGTCTGCAGTTCGTGAGCGCTTGCTAATATTGATTTCTTTCGCCTGCACCAGTACAGCACATATCACGTATACACACTTGCAGATTAGCATGTGATAAAGTGATGCTACCAGCTATTTCATTCACAACCTCCTGGGTTTTAGACACTTTTTGATGAAAAAAGGATTAATGATCTCGCGTGGAGCTATGAACTGTCATGGCAGTTGGGAAAGGCACTGGATGCTTTCTGAATGGATTATTAGTGGTATGCATCATGGGTCCATGCTCATTTGGTCTTCTTTTCTTTTCATAAAGGTGTTGGAGATGGCGGAAATGAATTGGGAATGGGCAAAGTAAAAGATGCTGTAAAGAAGCACATAAAAAATGGAGATGTTATAGCTTGTGATGTTGAAGCTGATTTTACGATTGTAGCTGGTAAGGGGATTTTTTGGGGAATGGGGGAGTTGTTGATGTTTGAGAATAGAATTGAAAAGAAAACGTCTGTCTTTCCAACTAATTTGTATTGGCCCTTTCTTTGTATGGCCAAGTCATCATTAGCCAACAAATCTGTCTCAGTATTATGTCCGTTTTCTGGATAGTTAAGCAACTACAGCTCCCGCAGGAATGACTGAAAATTGAGGCTGTTCTGTGAAGAAAGTACATTTAATTGGAAAGAGTTGGGCAAGTCCTGAATATGCTTGAAAAATCACACCTTAAATAAAATAACAGGGAAGGCTGCGTAAGTGACCTGTGTGCAAATGAAAATGTCTACACACATATGAATTTAGAGTATAATTGATGAGCTTCTGTGGGTGAGACCCTGTCAGGCCTGGATCAGCCGTGTTGCTCTTACATGAAGAGATGATAAGCCCTGTCAACAGCCATTCGCAGACAGATGTACATTCTTAATGTACAACAGAAGTTGAATGCTGTAGTTGAATTTCTCTTCTACCCTAACGTCTTAACCAGCACGAAACAAAATTCACAGTGAAAGTGATGTGTTCAGCCAGGAGCAATTTATGAACTGGGCGGTCCCTGTTGTACTTAGGCTCACATTTCTAGGTTTCTGACCTAGGCATCTAATGCTCTTGATGCTAAAGCAGCAATCTAGGGGGAGAAATGAGAGTGTGGCAATAATTAAGTCTACTTCTTATGCTCGTATGTATACAGTATCTATGGTGGCTCTTTTGGCGATTCTGATGCTTTTTACTTTGAAAGCAACTGCCACACCCCAACCCTGCAAAGGGAAGTGAGGCAGAGCTTTGAATATGCTTAAGTGTAGAAAACTGCATGCACTAAAACAAGTTCCACACTTTCTGAAAATTTTGCTATTCTGCGTCTCTGGAAAAAGTTTCAGGCAATAGAGAGGACTTCTCACAGCAAATTTGTGAATGTAATGATTTCCAGTAGAGTCTTGCCAAGGAAGCTGTCCAACAAGACTGTGTGGACTGATTTGATAACAGCATACAGAAAATTTATGGATATTAACTATGTTAGAATGTCTTTTTGTGTACGATACTTAACCTCAAGGACACATCATGAAGACACAATTAGTTTCACCGTGGCTTCATATCTTATAAAATAGCTGAACTCTTTAATCAGTCATCATTTGTGACCAAAAAGAGGTTCTTTGCAATGGTCCAGCATTCTGTTATAAAATCTGACACCAGTGAAAATTTGCCTGGTTGAAATTACTTTGTCAAAATCTTCTACCTCTGTGTGGTTAAAAGCAAAAGACACCAGTCTGTAACACAGCTCTTCACAGTTCATGGCCTTCACGTTAAGCCAAGTGGAATTGTGTTGTAGAACATCTGAGTTTTTGCTTTGTTGGAAAGACAAACCACAAACTAAGCTAGATGGAAACTTGCAGAAATTCAATCTGAAATACTACTGAAACCATTTTAATATGTTAACCAATTTCTGAAATAAACCTTCCAAATTCATGTCGATATTTAATTTGTGTGCGTGTTCCATGTCACCATCACTACACAAGGTGCAGTTGTATGTGCCTAATGCCTCGTGCAGGTGAGGTATCCTTGCAATAACTGTTGTTGGGTTTTTTACAGCTCGATTTCATGGTGACATTCTTTTGCAGGGGTCTCTAACTGGGGAGGCTATGCCATTGCTTGCGCTCTGTATGTTCTCAACACTTGTGAAATACATGACCGCTACCTGAGGAAAGCTGTTGGCTTTCCACAGTTAATGAAGAAGATGGTCTGGCTATCGGCGCTTCCATCAGTTACTAAGGTAATTTCTGTAAGGCCAAGGAGTTGTGACTTGCTTGTGACATGCAGAAGGAATTGGCAACCAGCCACCAAATCCTGGCTAGTCCAGTTCAACTGCTTACCTTCACCTGGTCTTTTGGTGACTTTGGGGAATCCCTGGTGAATGAGCAGCCACACTGCATTTAGAATATTCTGCAAAGGATTCAAGACAGATAGAACATAAAAATCCTCAAAAATGAATGTATTTATGTGCTGCGACTTCAAGCATAAGACAGTGCTACAATATATGGACAAGGCAAGAAATCCTTCTATTGTGATACAGTGAATAAAATTCCCCGTTCACTTCCTTAGCATCGTTCATTATTTTATAGATCTCTATTGTATCCTCCGTTAGATATCTCTCTTCCAAAATCAAAAGCCGTAGTTCTAATACAGAAGCCACTCCATACTTCTGATCTTCACACCTTACTTCTGATCTTTCCACCTTTTCTAGTTATGTTAGAACCTTTCTATAATTAGTTGTGAATGTTTCTGAAGTTGGAGAAAGACTTGCAGATGAATATTTTAAAATGTTTTGACTGATGCAGCTCTGAACAGTGTGATATTCTGGGAATGCAAACATTACAGACAGAAAAAGTAAAATAACCCAGAGGGGTGAGAAATGACTGTGATCTGTGCTCCTCTTGCTAAGCACGTGGCTCTACTTTTAACTTGACAGTGTTTAAAAAAATATATATACACACACTCAATGATGCAGTAAGGTTTGCGATAACTTGGGAACTTCAAACTTCAGTTTTATTGGCAGAGTACTTGTACAGAAACTTGGACAAAACCCGTAAGTTTGTGACCTCCAAGAATGCGAAGCAAAACATAATCCAGCTACCATAGATATTGCCCAAAACAGGGGAGTATTTCTGTTTCATGTTCTGCATGAAATTCCAATATAGCACCTCGTAAGTACTTTAGAGTAGGTCTTAGGGTTTTTTAATTCCTGCTATTTAGATTTTCCATCTAAAGGTCATGAAACTGAAACTGACCCCAACATTCAGCATGACCATGTAGCCACTTATCCTTTGACTTAACAAAGCATATGGCACCTTTCAGTACAACCTTTTCCAAAAATAGGTTAATTACTTTTCAGGTTTTTTTCCAGTTACATCTACTATTTTTGCCCTTTAAATTAACATATCCTAAAAACTACTATGATAAAAATTCCTAGTAATGAGGCACTGTAATTGCGATATTGTGTACAGGAAATCCTTCTTGTTTTTGTTTTACTAAGCTTTACAGCTGGGAATATTGATAATGATCCAATAATGGGCTGTTGAAAATGCAATACTAAAATCTATTGAGATAAAATTAACGGAACCAGTTTTGTGGAGGAGTCAAAATTACAAAACATCTGAAGAGAATATGATATCTTGAATTGTAAATCACTCAACTGTAAACAGTGCAGAAGATTGAACACATTAGTGTTCGCACACTCTACTAGTATAAAAAAAATTCATACCATTTATGTTTATATGGCTACTTTCTGCCCAATCCAGCTTCTTTTAATGCTGTAATAGTTACCCAAGTAAGACAAAGAGCACCACCATGCATACCCACCTCGGTGTTTGTATTTGCGATTGGAAAGAAGACATTTGAAGGAGTGCCTAAGCACGAAATGGCTTTCTTATAATGTGTTTTATTTTTCTTCCAAAAATGGCATTCCTTCCTTGAAAACTATAGATCATAATTACTAAATGAAGTCTTCCCCTGAAGCACAAAGATTACCTTCTGCAGCCTCGTGTTGAAGTGGTGCCAGGACTGCAATGCAACAGGCCACAGAACTGTACAGCTCTCCATTCCCAACGAACCGACCTCCAGGATTGTTCCAAGTGCATGGATTAGTCTTGATGTGTATTTTAATAGGAGATACTGCAGAGCATTTGTTCCTTGTTGGGAACCTGAGGAGCAAGAAACAATTTGATCAAAGCAATCTTTACTTACCTTTCGGTTGTGGAGCTGAATCATAATTATGTTGGTTAAGACAATATTGGTTTGATTTTTCAGATTTTCATGGTATTTTTATACTTAAGTGACTGTAGGGAGATATATTAATTCATACACATCCAAATGTAGCTGATGATGCTAAACATTCTACAGTCAGCTCTGCATTTCCTTGCATCTCACAACCAGGTTAATATGTCAGGCAGTTGTTCTTTTACTGAACTCTTTATTAATGGTAGGAAATGCACTGTATAGTATTTATTTTCAAAGTATGACCTATAAGAATATGACTTACTTTATAAATGAGCAATATATAAAAAATGTGACATTTGTTTTCGTGTTATTTGTTAGCTTTGTCATTCATAAGGGAGTGGATTTTTTTCCTGAATAAAGTGAAAATTAATGAGTTCTCTTTCTATTAATTTGTTTATTTTTCTGGTTACCCCACTCCCAATATAATTATTTACTAAAGAGAGAACTGTGAGCAAATTGCAGCACTTTACAGCTCAGGAAGTGTGCTGTACATTGTGTGTGTTCCTTACAAACGGAAACAATAGCATTTGATCATAGAATACAGTTTATCAGGCAAAGTTATATAGTCTTAAGCCAGCAAGCCTTTTTTTCCCCATGTAAGCAGATCAGAGAGCTCTAACATGTAAATATGCAGGAGAAATTATTCAAATTAGAAAGAACATTTTGTGTATCCAATCCAGGTCTCTCTTCTGCGACACGAGAGATCTAATTTGCACTTTGCAAATAGACACCCAGTGCTAATAAAAACCTCTCTCATGCAGAAAGATCAGGTGCTCATATGTGCATTCATATTGTCATGGCTTAACCTGGCAGCCGGCAACTAAGCAGCAGCCAGCCGCTCACTCACTCCTCCCCTGCCCCGTGGGGTGGGGAGGAGAATGGACAACAAGTAAAACTCATGGGTTGAGATAAAGACAGTTTAATAAGACAACAAAGGAAGGAATAATAATAAATATGCAAAACAAGCAATACACAATACAGTTTTTCTCACGGCCTGATGACCAATGGCACAGCATGTCCCCGAGCAGCGATCGCAGAATTTGTGTATTTCACAGATTTCGCAGAGCTTGCCGAACTCACAGAGCTTGCCGAACTCACAGAGCTCGCTGAACTCAGGGAAAAGTTCTTGCCCCCAGCCTGCCCCCATTCATAAGCTGAGCATGATGTCTACGGTACGGAATATTTCCATTGTTCAGCTTGGGCTAGCTGCCTGGCCGTGCTCCCTCCCAGCTCCTGCACGCCTGCTCATTAGCCCAAAAACTTCAATGTTATCAACATTCTTGTCACACTAAATCCAAAACACAACAACTACTGGGAGGAAAATTAACTCTATTCCAGCTGAAACCAGGACATGTATATATGATCAGTCATATGATATAAGCTGATGTATATTTATCATTTTATAAATTACAAAGTAGCACATTTTATGCTACCAATGTATCCAGATAATTTCCTTAAATAGCTGTATAGTTGCTGTATTGTTACGTAATGTCAATACTGACACCGTGTGACTATGCACACTTTTTCTTTAATGGAAAACCAGTGCCTCCTTAGATGCAGCTAAGAACTAGGATGCAATACCAGAAAATACATGACAAATGTTTATACAGTGCATTCAGAAAACAGGTTACCAAATTCTACTGAATTCTCTGCTAAATGACCATGCAAGGTACACTTTCCTTCTTTCAGAAATGTTTATATTTTGGCCATGTACTGTGTGATGTAAAATACAACCATATTGTGTCTAAATTCAGATCTAAAGCTATTGTATTCTTTATTGTTTAGAAGTCTTCCTAGAAAAAAACCCCAAACATTTAATAAGAGAATATTAGACATTCTACCTTTATAATTTTTTCATCATTAATTTGTGTCCAGGAGAGAAAGGATTTTGCTAGAGGTTATTTTATGGGAATATCAAAGAAGTAGTATTTAAACCTATAGAACTGTTTGTCCAGGACACTGGTAGGGCTGTTTCAGCAGCAATTTCTGCCATAGCAGGGTCTCACACAAATGGAGAAGCAGAACAGTAGAGCAAAGACCAGACCAGAGGTTCCTGGCAAAGAAAAGGAAGAAAAGATAGGTATATGACTATACCAAGATTTCATGTAAATTACCATGGGGTTAGGGCAGGGGGAAGCCAAGATGTCACTAGGCTTTTTATTTTTTCTTAGATTTTTATTAACAGAGAAGTAAATTCTCTTTATAGTAAATGCTAAGACAGTAGAAAGAGTTTTAGTGTGTACATTTCATGTCAAATGGAAAGCAGAGCAGTTTATGCTAGACATACGTCCAGTGAAATCAGGTCTTCTCATTTCACTGTTCATAGAACCAGTGTTTTCCCAGAACTGATTTTGTCCCATCTTTTCATCTCGCAGTGCTAACTCACCCGTAGCTCACCACTGAGGATTTTGTTCACTCTGTGTACTTTAACAACTCAACTTGGAACATGTTTTGTTATCTGCTTACATTACTGTTAAGCAAGAAAATAACTCTTGGAAACGTGAAATTGAGTTGCAGTTCTAAACGAAGTGTGCGCTATTTCAGGGAATCCCAAGGAAGCACAGTTTCAGGGGTTTCTTTTTTCCCTATCCCTTTCCTAAGCAACCAGAGTTCTCATAAAGTCAGTAGAAAAAAGAGGACAAAGAGCACAAGGCATACAGAGATTGCAGAAGATGCGGGAAAGTGGTTGTGCAGCCCATTCATTTTAAAAATGCATCTGCAGCCAGCTGCTACGCTGGGGAAACGACAAGTAGTTTTTTGAGATACTTTGGGTGGAGGTTCCTCTGATTCTGATTTCTGCAAAGTAGGAACTTGAAACCAGGCAAAAAAGGATTCATGTTTCTGAATTGACACTAATGTGCTGTGTGGAAAACAATAATATCATGAACAGCAGTCAAGAACATAAGCCTTCTGACACTCCCTAAGTTGCAGATGCTACACAAGTTCTTTGGGACGAGGAGAAAAAGATGTTAGCAAATTGCTGTCAAAATAAATATGGAGGATGTGGTCAGTCTCCTCCAGAATTAAAATAAAGATCTTGACTAATGCTCTTATCTGATTCAGGATTTTCATTATATTCTATTTCTTTGTTTTCTAAGGAAGAGAAGCTTCTGAAAACCCTTTTGCGGCACGGGGTCCGCAGTGGAAAAACTGCCAGTCTGGAATTGGAAGTGGACGGGCTGCCCTTCTACAACACCCATTCGCTCATGATTGAAAAGCTGCTGCAAGAAGTGCAGCAATGACTGCCTCTCGTGATTTCGATATCAAGAGTTGCTCCCATGTTACTTCCTCATTCCCTAGGCTCTCACAAGCTATAAAAGATCAGAAGATGACTTTTCATCTCTGGCGTCTTGGCCACACACAACCTTTCATTGCTACCCTTACAACATCTCTGTGAAGCGATAAGTGGATATCGTCATCAGGATTTAGTTTTCTTTTCTTTTCTGTAATTCTATAAAGGATAATAAATGATACTGTACACTAAGAAGTGATCTGGCTTTTACAAAGAACGCTTGTCATGAAAATGAAATATTCTTGCATTGCTGTTCCTGTTTCACTAACCCCATAACTGCAACAGGAAGTAACTCTTGTAGCAACTTGGATTTAAAAATACCTTGTGGTGGGGAAAACAGCTGCAGTGGAGTGGGGAGGTTAAAAACAAAATCACCCAGTGAGTGTTACATTAGTGAAAGTTGTTCAATACAGCCCCCCTGCACACCTCCTGTAGGCCCACTAACACTGTCGTCGTACGATGGTGGATAGTTTGTGGAAGGGTGAGGAGACAAGCAGAGAGCTCATGGCAGCGCTGCAAACCTTCCCTGTACAGCGTAGGCCATGCCCTTTGCCTCTTTTGTAGTAGCAGTTTACCATTTATGTATTTTGTCCCTTTCTGAGTAACACAGAAAGGCTGTAGACATTTCCGGGTATCCTGTTGTTAAGGATAAATGAATTAAATACATAAATAACGACTAAAAATTAATTCTTAGAAATTAAAGGATGACTAGAAATTAGAAAACATTTGCATTCAGTATGAAATAAAATTATGTAAATGAATATTTAGATGAATTCCAGTTATAAAAACTCAGCTCCTGGTGAGACGGAGTGAACTAAATTTAAATTATATCTCAAAGACCTACAAACGCCAAACCAGTACCTTACAAAGGGTTGTGAATTGTGCCTGACTTCTGTCATTTAAAGCTGTGACTTCAGTTGAACTCCAGGTGAGTGTCAGGGCTGAAGTTCTGCTGGTAGTCAGCCCTCGCACAGAGAGGACAGGGTATATTTGATGCTGCACCTCTCAGGCACTGAGGCTGTAGCGGTCACACAATAATTATAACGGTGCAAAAGGCGAGCACCAAACCATTGCGCTGTAACAGGATGAGAACAGCAGTTCTGTTCAGCCATGCCTTTTTGCAAAGCACGGTGGACTTCCAGCAGCCAGCAACGCCTTGTATCTACTTTTCTTTCTGGCAGGTGAGTTTTCTTTTCCTTCTCTTAATGCAAGACTAACACATAACTTTTTGAGAATGAGAAAAATCAGCCTGTACCACAAACACCAGCGTACTTTGCACATTAATCTTCTGAAGTCCTTGAGGATACACAGCCTTTAAATACTTAAAACAGTTGAACACGTGTGAGAAGGAAATCTTCATGCCAGACTTGCTGCTAGACATTGAGGCTCACCAAAGCTCCCAACGTTTGTTTTATGGATCAATCATTTTTTTAGATTCATTTTATTTAAAGCCTTCTTGAAGGATGTTGCAGTAAAACTATCTCTGAAGTTTCACAATTAGAAAACAGCTCCTTTAGAAGTCTCCAAACTATAACTATTAAGTACAATGTTTTATACGAATGCTTGAGCTTTTTGCCAAAGCCAGTAACCCCACAGGATGGCACACCTTTGCTGTTGCACAGAACCCACAAAATTAACTTAGCATCATTTAAAAATGTCCATTTGGGAGAAGAGGGAGCTGATTTCCTTCGCTGTGTACTGTGTGCTCAGGAGCTTGCTGACATATTACACTAATCGGTGCAATGTATATTATTCTTTCCAAACACTAACTTTTGTCAAAAAACCCCCTTCGTTTAGTAAGCTTTTGCTCTTTTTTCCCCAAAATACAAGTTTTAACAGTCAGATTTCATTAAGAAATATAAAATGTAATAATTTATTTGTCTTTTTTCTCTAAAGTGTCTTTGTAAAAGCCTTTCTCCTGTGCAGTCCCAAGCACTGTAATTAATCCGATAGCAATGTGTAGCATATCTCTAGCAACAATAGTAGGACCCTTGACTGAGTATGTTCTGGCTGAGACGGAAAGAATATCTCTGAGTGAGAGCTGTGGTCCTCCCATATCGATTACAGTTCTGCAGCCTAAGCCTAGCAGTTACAGTATAGCAAGAACTGATAAAATATTGAATTCAGGGGAAAAAAAATAAAAAAAGAAGAAAAACCTCCCTCTTCTCTTGCAGGTTAGCAGGTTAAATATTGAGAACTGTAGCAGAATGCTGGACTCTTTTACACAAGCTTCCATCTGTTTTTAAACGGCAGCAGCTGACCAAAAGCTGACCACATCAAAGTACCAACTCAAATAAGCCTTAATCGCTCAGATGGTAATTTGATGTAATACAGCATGCCCTGCATTCCAGCTAATTTAAACAGCATGGGTAACTGTAACGATGGAAAGCATAACCAAGACAAAAAATCTTTCACCCTAGAACAAACCACATGTGTGTCTTACAGCCTGCCAGATTATGGGAGTCCAAGTAGTTGGCTCAGAGCTGAACAACCTACAAGCATGGCATTATGGCAGTCGGGAGTCCCTGCCTTACGACCCTGTTGATACAGACAGGAGATTAGAGGAAAGATTAGGAGAAAGTAAAGCTAAGCAGCACAAAAAGTCAGAAGAAAAAATGCAAGTAATTTATCCAGCTTGGTGAGTGGTCCAACTATAAAGAAATGTAAAATAATTAAACAAACCAAATGTTAACCTAAGCAAACCTAATCTCCTCCTGGGAGTGGGGACATGAATCCTTTCTGCAAGAGAAGGGAGGAGAGAATCTGTAGTCTTACAAATAGAAACTGTGGGCCAAAGCCATAAGATGGCTCAAACACAGAGTGAACAAATATAGGAAGAAATAATAAGGACATTCTTTACTAAATACATCCTGTAATTATTTCTAATATAGCACTCTCAAGGTGGTTTCCAGAAAACTGCTAGAACATATCGCCTTTTAGAAGCTGATGACAAGCAAGGCTGTGCTACAATGACACACTTCAGATACTAGTAGACCGTCTGTCTAGAGAATCTTTTGACATTTAAAAAAAAAAATCTGATGATACTGCTGGAAGTTATTAGCTGCAGGTTGCAGAGAGACAGGTGTTTCAAGAAAGGTTTGAAATCAGAGAAGTGAAAGGACAAGGCAATATTCATGGTGTAACAGTTACAGATACAAGAAGATGTGATGAGCAGATTACAAAGAAGGCTCATACAGGAATCATTAGTATAATAAAGAAAAAACCCAAACCCTGGAGAGGAGACAGCAGTAGAAACAACACTATAGAGCAAAACCGCCACATCTTTAACTGCCATTACCTCCTGTATTTTGTTTTCTATCTAAACCAAGAAACATACATCAATGAGACATATTTCTGCTACTGTATTTACTGAACAATGGCCAAACCCTAAGTTATAGTATCTGTGGGAGAAAACGGAGTTTAAACAGTATCCATTTAACGGTTTCCCTGACAAATGCATTGTTATTTAGTTGTCTGTATGGTCTACGCTGCACAAGACACACAAATTGTGAAGGGGACAGTCCAAACTTTAGCAAGGTTTACTAGACATTAGATGTAACTACATTTGTCTTTGAGCACAGTAACTCAGAAAAGTGCAGTCATTCAAAGCGCCTCTCATACTACAAACCTCCTGTTCTTTTTGAAGTTAACAGACCAAATTATTTATCCCCATTAGAGCCAAGAGATCTCATACCTCTGGAAGTCCATAGGAGCCTTATGATGAGGTTCAACAGTCTGAGATTCAACAGTCAATCAACAGATTGAAGGTCTCAGCAGATGCTGAGTTCCTTGTGCATGTTCTCCCAGAATGTCTCACGTTATTAGATGGGTTCTTTTAGGAGGTTTGTTCTGGCACAGTCTCTGCAGGCCTTGAAACTGCTTGGAGGACAAGTTATTTCAGAGAGTGACAGGAATGTTACAGCAATTTTTTTGCTTTTTAAAAGTACATGTGGGGACATTTAATTTGTTCTGCCTCCACCCTTTTCAACAGATGATGACAGCTTGTAGAGAATCATTTTCTCTAGATGCTACAGGGGCAAACAGAAAGCAGTTAAAGACTAATTTAACAGAACCACACACCACGAGTACTGAGTATTCCACTCGATGCAGTCATCAAGACAATAGGTTTTGAGCGATACCATAATGACAACAGACACATGATTCTAACTGAACTGACTTCGCATGTGCTTTCCTCACTACTGCCAAGGTCCAAGCACCTCCAGAAATGGCGTCACTGTACTGCATTGCTGGTAAGCTTTTGGGAGGTAACACTGTTGTAATACACACATAAATCAGGTGGATACACAAACAGGGCCACAGCTCCAGATTTTAGATTAATGTCCTTTTTTGATGAATGCTATAGTCTGCCCAAGGTAGTTCTGGAGTCATCCTTCTTTTCAGTATCACCATTTGATATCTGTAATAACCTTGGTTGTTGCTCGTGCTGTGGCCTGTTGGGAGTTTCTGGAGCATTCAGCGGATAGGATTCCTTTGTCTCAGTCCTCAGACACCCTAAACATGTTAAACAAGAGTCTCGCATCTTGGAAAAGTTCTGGTAAGTGCTTTCACTGGTAAAACAGTACAATACTGGATCAGCAACACAGTTAAAAGTAGTCAACAGGAGAGAAAAATGGTAAATATTAAATATTTTCTCAGCAAATGAGCAGTTGTTCTCCAACAAGCTGCGAACCACAAGTAGGATGTGGTATGGTCCAAAGCAAACTAAAAAAATTAAAACAGTGCTTGAAACCAGCCGTTCAATTTGGATTTTCTTCTTCTTTTGAGTGCCGTGACTCTTGTGGACAACCCGTAAAATCCCACAGTAAGAAAAGGCCAGCAGAAAGAAGGGGAAAAGGAAGCCAGCAGAGAAGCGGTAGTAATTCACATTGTGCTCCCATTCTTTGATGGGGTAATGCTCGAAGCACACCACATGGCTCTCGGCATCCATACTGACCTCGCCGTGCATAAAGACAAAGCAGCATGTCATTATTTCTTTGGTCCAGATAACGATGCTCACAATCACAGCAGCCTTCATTGTCCGAAACTGTTGAAACCGAAAGGGGTGCACCACTGCGAGGTAGCGGTCAATGGAGATGCAGCAGAGGAAGCCCACACTGATGTAGATATTCTCATACAAGAGGATCCCACAAATTTTGCACAGCAGCTCATCGTAGGTCCAATTGTCATGCTGTAAAACATACTGAAGCCAAAAAGGCAAAGAAAATATGTAGAGCAGGTCTGCTACAGTCAAATTGCAAAGGTAGATACCCAATTCATTTTTTGCCTTGATCTGTAAATACCCATAGTACAGTGACAGGCAGTTAGCTGGCAAGCCTACTATAAATACAAATATGTATACCACAGGGGATAATATCTGGTGGATCTCATGATTAATAGTGCAGTTCTCAGTTGCATTCTCTCCGAAATTCACCATCTTCTACTCTCCCCATTTATCACTCATCAGGGTCCCGAATGAATAGGTGTAAAAATTAATTTAATCCTGTTTCATGTATTGCTTATTTCTTCCACAAACCTTTAGGCTGAAGTGATGACTTGCTGCAGGATGTTCTTAACCTGAAGGTAAAAACACATGAAAATCTTCAGAAAGGATACAACTGTCAAATATATAGCACAGTTTTCAGTAAGCTGCCTTTTCTGAGCCCTAAATTTTCATGTAGTCTTTGATAGAAGATAAAGCCTGTCTGGGAAATCATGATTTGTATGAGTAAGTCCTAGTACCCAGAAAAGTACCAGAAAATTTTGCATCCAAGAATCCCAAAGCAAACTACAAACATTTGTCGCTTGAGCTTTGCAAGTATCTAAAAGGTGAAGAAATATCATCTTGGTTTTGCAGAGAAGGCACAAAACCAGTAATCTGCTTTGTCCATGATGGAAAAATGTCTCTGGCAAACCAGCAGTCCACTCTGACTTCCTTAGAGGCTGCAGGGTGCACAAAACAGTTGATTTTTAATTTCCATTTCACAGATTTCCCTTTAGATACAAGATACCATGGAATACACAGTTCAAGCCAGCAGGATGAAAAAAACGGGATGTTTAGCAGTCTTTCTTACAGTTATGTGTAAACACAATCCTGAAAGCAAGCTGTCTTTCTCTGTCAGAAGGACACTGTAAGAATCTGGTATAATCTATTCCCATGGTCTCAGTCCTATGGGACGTGCTATTACAGATTCCTTATTTGTCATTAACTATCAAAAACAGTGATTTACTGTTACTATCTATACATTTGTATCTTTCCTTTTAATCTTCATTGAATATGAATATAATTGCTTGCACATGAATAATCTTCTGTAATTCAAACTCATACCCATAAAAACCATTCCTATACTACATTATTACTATTTAAGACACTTCTAAAAATAACTTCTGACAATGGGTTAGCACTTGGTTCAACTAGGACAAGCATTCAGCCCTGAGTCAGCTCACAGTTCTTAAACCCTAGACTAAACAAAGCACCACATTCAGCGTTTTATCACCTCGTGATATACGCACATTGGCACAAATGCTCAGGACTGGAAGACAGCAGGGCAAACTGTGCCCAGTCTGAAGGGGATGTGCATTTTACCTGATGACGCAGGACAGCGAGACTGTGCTTCTTTCAATCTCTTCCCAGAAAATGCATGGTTATAGCGTATACTTTTGTGTACTCTTCCTACAGCTTCAGTTAACGTGGTTCAAAAGGAGACAGCACTATCCAGGGACAAAGATAAGGTCTTGTTGCTTTTTCCTGTTTACTATCCTAATTTGTATTTTTGTCATCATCTTCTGTCTTGCCTAGGAACATACAATTTTTTCCAAGGCAACTGTTATGAAAACATGGCCACACTACTGTAAAAGTACGGTTAGCTGCAGCATTTGAGGATGTTACTGTCAGGTTTTTTTGTTTTTTATGAAAGGTTTTCTAAATCGTGGTGGGCTTTGCTCCTATAGAAATTGAAAAGAAAATCACTTCCTTTGGGCCACAAAAAAATTGCCTAGCTGAAATAAGTGACCAAAGCTGCAGAGACTTTCAATGTTTAGCTTCAACCACTGTAGCACAGTCTCACAGAAATCACAGCAAACTTAAGGACACATGTAAATATTTAAGAATTAGCATGTGATTTTCATTCTTTTGCTTTTCCTCTTTTTGTTACCAACACAAAGAACATCAGCCTCAGTTTTGGTGGAAGCATTCTCGGAGATCTCGGATACCTTCAGTCATGAAACAACGGGCCAACATATGCTCATCTCTCTCAAAACTTCTAACTTTGTTGTCCAGCACAACCTGTGTGAAAGACTGGTCAAGTCCAGCACAGCACAAGCTCTGCTCTCCTCTCCCCCTGTCACTCTTGCACAGCTCCTTTGGGCTGGAGACTCACCCCCTCCGCTGAGGGTGGCACAATAGCTACTACGGATAAATCAAGCACAGCAGGTGAAATGCTGCTTAAGGGACCCAGCCACAGGTACCTATGGTTCATTTTGCTCCAAGAGGCTGCCATAACCTTCCCGCAGAAGAATGATGATAATGTTAGCAGCGCAGACGTGTACTGAAGAAATTAATTGCTAAAGTTATGTACTAATTTCCCAAAGGACTGTTGCATATGGGCCATTAGCCCTCCTGTAACACCGTCCAGTGTGCTATGCATTTCTCAATGGCTTTGTAACTATCACGCAGCTTTTCTGTCTACGGGAGACCTGGCTCTACACACACAACGACAGCGCACAGAATCTTTGCTGAGGCAGCTTTGGTAACCTGCTTACCCCGCTCCACCTCTTCCAGTTCAGAGCTCCAGGCAAAGTACAATGGTGTTTGAGTTTGTATTTGATACCATTTCACTTCTGTAAAATAATTTGATGAATTTTACATGTAAGAGTTTGCCTGCATTTGCACACCTAGTTATAGTCTAAAATGCCTAAAAATTTGGGATCTATCATCTAATCAACCAATTAAAAGCATCCAGCTCCTGCTGATGAGGAAATCAGTAATTTGAAAGCTGTCGACAATTTTGAAAAGTCAGAACTTTTTATGTCTAATAAACAGTGCTAAGTTTTGTTTGGTGTTCCCCAGTGAGCCAATGTGGATCACTGTATGAGACAAAGCAGATATGCTCTACAGTTGCACTACTTTTTGAAAATGTGTCTTTTCTTTTAGGAACAAAAAATGTTTTTATTAAGTTATGTTTATGTCAGAGAACATGATTGTAAAAATAGTTTCTGTTTAGCTTAGAAGTGTTGCCAGAATGCAGAATGTGGAGACAGCAAAAGTCTTATTGATACGACATCATGCTAACATAAATCCTCACTTACGATTACAGTAACATTTCCTGCTCCCAGAGAAATTACAAATTTTTTTGCCTTGTGCTAACAAACCCTGCCCAGTTTCAAAGATGGGGATGAAAAACAAAGGTCCAGACTGTTGCTGGTGCAATAGCTGTCTTGTACTGCTCTTCTGCTCAGCGGCATCAGCAGGCCAGGAAATCCTGCCCTTGGTTCAGCCTCCTCGGCACGTGGGCACTGGAACACCTTTGTGCCCTCTGACCCCTCGTGCCTGGCTAGTGGCAGGCTCTGTAGCCCAGTGGGAAATACAAAGGTAGGTCACCTTTCCCCCAGCACCGGGTATACTAAACATAGCCCTGCACTAGCCAGGGAGTGAAACTATTCTTTTCCGACAAACCTGGTATCAAAGTACTTCAATGGCAGTGTTAAACAGACGGGTGCAGAAGAGGCCCACCCTGTTATTAAGAATAAAATACACAGTACCTTACACGCTGTCCGGAAAAGTGGAAACTGAAGGCAGGATGATGCAGGGTATGGGAGAGAAAAGACGAACAGCTCCCCTGTTACTTACCGACCTCAGCTGGACAGGAGGAGGAGAAAAAAAGAAAAAAAGAAAAAAGTTACTGTATAAAAAACATCTGCAGTGCAGATGATAATCATAAAGCTGAAAACAGTTACAAGTGGGAACACACAGGCATTCCTTTTTGACAGCTTTAATATGGAAATAGTGCAGCTGTGCGATTGTTTTCTACAACACCTTCAGTATCATGAGTTTGCAGACATTTCCAGGCAAGATTTGTCTCTCATATGTGCCCACATCTTTTAGATGATACCCATCTAAGCCCAGGTCTTGGAAACAAATGAGAAGACACTCACCATCTACATGAACTCTAAACAATTCTCTTGCTCTTGGGTGAAAAATTAAACCAAGAATCCCTGGGCTTCAGAAAGCTTTACTTTTCTTGGTTTAAATGAACCGAGTTTCATTACTCACTGGACAGTTCAACAACAGGTTCTTTTCTTTCCAAACTCCTTTGTGCCTTAACTGTTGACAAAAACATGAGGTCCCCCCTGCACTGTGACCACAGAGCAGCTGGCTCGTGAAGCGCTGTCTGCTGGTTTTGGCACAGGAAACAGCTCAGAGCCACCTACACCGACAGCTGCTTCAGCTCGGACCGACTACTGCCACAGAGTCTAGGTGCATGTTTTGGTTTTAACGAATGTTGCTACAATTTTCCTCATAAGAAATCTGTCTGCAGTTAGACCTACACATTTTTAGCAGAGACAAATGGAATGATGCCAAAGGGCTTCCTTGTAGGCATCAGCAAAAGTTGTGTGCACAGCTAGTCTCATCCACAAAGCTCTCATTTCTGTGAACAGGGAGCATAAAGTGGTTGTGTGCCTTTATGTGACAGTAGTTGCCTTGCTGTTTAATCTGTCCCTGCAGCTGTCATACACCGCAGACAGGCCTGAGTCCTTTGGACTGTGCTGCAAATCTTGGAAATCGAAACTTGAAGTTGTTTCAGTTTAAGATTTGGTTCATATCATTACCTACACAAACATCAGCCCTTAAATTCACACAGTAAATTTCTCCCAACACTGGAGGGTTTATCAGCTTGGTTTGATCCTGGTTCCCAAAGCCTGGAAGAGTAAGGTTGGACAAAGAGGCCTGGGAAGCAATGACCAGCAGAAGAGACTAGGGACCAGTTGTACAATATAAAAAGGGCAGAAACTTCCTGGTATCCTTAGAGCAAGTTTCAGAAAAAAAAAAAGACGTAGAAGAAAGTGGAAATCAGAGTGCATGACTGAGTGTGAGGAAATGACATAATGATGTTCAGATTCAATGGGAAGGGTTGTGATGCCAAAGAAGGACCTGTTGCAACAGGTCCAGGGGAGGACCATAAAAATGGAACACCTCTCCTATGAGGAAAGGCTGAGAGAGTTGGGGCTGTTGAGCCTGGAGAAGAGAAGGCTCCAGGGAGATCTTATTGTGATCTCTCAGTACTTAAAGGGAACTTATAAGAAAGATGGGGACAAACTTTTTAGCATGGCCTGTTGCGATAGGACAAAGGGTAATGGTTTTAAACTAAAAGAGGGTAGATTCAGACTGGATATAGGGAAGAAAATTTTTATGATGAGGGTGGTGAAACACAGGCACAGATTGTCCAGAGATGTGGTACATGTCCCATCCTTGGAAACATTCAAGGTCAGGTTGGACGGGGCTCTGAGCAACCTACTCAAGTTGAAGATGTTCCTGCCGATGGCAGGGGGCTTGGATGACTCTTTAAAGGTCCCTTCCA